TGGCGCTGCGGTGACACGGGGACAGCGCTGGGCTGGGGACGGACCCCGCGCTCCCCGCACCGGCTGCCACAAACCGCGGCCCCTCACTGATCCTGCCAAGACCCCCGAGTCCTCCGCACACCCCCAGAGTGCGGGGGAAGAGCGGCCGCCGTTCCCAGCTGAACGCATCATGAGCTTCCCAAACTTTCAGCAGCACCCGGCAGCACAGCTTGCCAAAAACCTACATAAAATCCCCACAAAAACCTAACCCCAGAAAGCATCAAAATGTCCCTCTGTCTTTCCTGCCAAAAGGTTGAAAATCACCTTCTTTTTTAGCTTCTCCCACTTTTGGGTCATTTCAGCCCAGTTTGTGCAAGGCTTTTGGTGTCTGTGTCCCCTAAAGACAGGGATGGGGCAGAGGGAGCAGCTTGCCCTGGCTCTGCCCCACAGACGGGTCCCTTCAGCCTCTTCACCTCAAGCATCCACAACAGCTTCAACCCTCCCAGAGCCCACAGGGCCCCTCCCAATGCCCAGGCCCTAAACCCATGATTGTAAAACAATTATCCCTTTTACAGCTCTCCAGTAAAGCAGAAAATAGCACAAGGGGGGAGATAAACACCTGCAAGGGTTCCTTGGCCCCACAGCTGCATCAGAAGCCACCCTGAGGAAGTGACACCTGCCCCAGGGAGACACAGGGATGGGCAGGTGTTGCTGCACCAGCCTCCTGGACAGGGCAGTCCGTGTTTTTTGGAGGGAAACAGGAGCCTTTGAGTGCTCCGAAGTCAATTTACACATTTCTTGTCTGCTCTCTGGAGGGACAGACCCCATCCCTTGGTCCTCAGGCCGCTCTCCTGCAGCCCCAGCTGACACCTCGCTCCTCTGAGTGGGCAAATGGACACTTCTGTTCCAGCTCCTCCCGAGGGGCAGCTCCCATCTCTGCTCGGGGACAGGGACAGGAGCCAGGGCACGGCTGGGGCTGGGCCAGGGCAGCTCAGGCTGGAGCTCAGGGCAAGGTTCTTCCCCCAGAGGCTGCTGGCACTGCCCAGGCTCCCCAGGGAATGGGCACGGCCCCGAGGCTGCCAGAGCTCCAGGAGCCTTTGGACAGCGCTGCCAGGGATGCCCAGGGTGGGCTTGGTGGGGGTCTGGGCAGGGACAGGGGCTGGGCTGGGTGATCCTGGTGGGTCTCTCCCCCCTGAGGGTTCCCACTGCGCTTTCCAGGGAATCTCTCGCCCTGCAGAGCTCCGGGCAGCGGCAGCGGCCGTGGGGAGCCCTGGCCGGGTGCTGGGCACAGCCGGGGTTATCCCGCTCCCGTCCCACAGCTGCAGCCCCCGGACACTCCCGGCACAGCTGTGCCAGCTCGGGGCTGTCGCTGTCGCTGTCGCGATGCCCTGAGTGCCCCGGGGGCTGCGCTGCCCCCGCTGCCCTCACACCGCGCTGACCGGGCTGTGGGACAGGCTGGGACGGCAGAGCTCCACCGGAGCGGCCCCAGCGGGGCCCTCCCGGGCTGAGTGTCCCTGCGGTCACCCAGGGCTGTGTGTCCCTCCTAATCACCCTGTGTGTCCCTCCCTGTCACCCCGAGCTCTGTGTCCCTCCGGTCACCCCGGGCCGCTCCCCACCGGGACAGCCGGCCCCTGCAGACCCCGCGGGTGCCGGGGAGCGGAGGCATTCGGGGGTGTGTGAGGGACCCCGAGAGGCTCCCAAAGCCGCTCAGAGCCTCGGGCGAGCCCCCAGGACACGGTGAGCAGCTCCGGGGCCGCTGCGGGCGCCGCCGGCCCGGGAGGGGAAGGAGGCGGCGGCCCCGGAGCGCGGCCCGGCAGCGGCGGCAGCGCCGCGGTCAAAATAAGAGTCCCCGGGCCCGGGACCCGCCCCCCGCCCGCTCCAGCCCCTCCGAGCAGCCTCTCCCTCCGTTTGGCAGCAACAGCTCGTTCATTAATTAATTAACCAACCCCCCAGAGAACCCCCTGCGCACCGGCAGGGCCGTGGCAGCGTCCCCGCGGAGCCCCCGGCGCGGCCCCTCCAGCTCGGTGGGGACAAGGAGGGGCCCCGGGGGTCCCATCGCTCCCGGCGGATGGGCTGAGGAGGAGGGTGGTGGCAGGGCGGGTGTCCTTCCCCTGGGATCCCCCCGGGATGGGGCGACTGCTCCCGCACAAAGAGCCACCTCTGGAAACCTCTGCTCCGTCAAGGGCCGGGGGCAGCCTGGACATCGCCCCATCCTGTACTTGGGGTGCCAGCATCTTTCATCCTGTACTGGGGGTACCAGCATCGCCCCATCCTGTACCCAGCATCACCCCATCCTGTACTGGGGGTACCCAGCATCGCCCCATCCTGTACTGGGGGTGCCAGCATCCCCCACCCCGCACTGGGCATGCCGGCATCACCATCCAGCTGGGAGTGCCTCACGTGGGATGTTGGGAATTCCCTGCTTTCATCCCTGCTCCTACAAACCAGAGCGGGCACGCCGGGGTGGCACTGGGACAGGGATGGGCGCGGTGGCTGGGGCCGGACGCGCATCGGGACGGGCTCTGGTGGCTCCTTTCCAGCGTTCGCTGCAGCTCTGTCTTTCCCACATGGACACAGGGACGCAGCGGCCACTGGGACAAACCTCCCCAAGCCATCAGGATGGGGAGAGGCTCCCAAAAGAAGCCGAAATAACCAGGATCACACAAAGTTTTTGCAGCCCATCACCACGGCCACGGCTCTTGTCCACCTCAAACCCACCCTGAGCGAAGGGCAGCGGGGCCAGGACGGGCTGTGCTGTGCCAGCGCTCCCTGTTTTCCTGGAGCAGCTGCTGGGAGCCGGGGCAGGGCCGGGGGCTCGGCCGGGCCGCCGGAGCCGCCGAGCCGCCGCGCCTCGCTCCAGCCGGGCGGACATCGCCCTCTCCCGCCCGAGCCGGGCGAGCGGAGCCGCAGCTCCACATCCTGGGATTCCGGCCAGCAGGAAGAGCACAACCCCAGCCTCCGGCGCTTCCTCCGGCCGCAGCCGCGTCCTTCCAGCGGCACCTGCCCACGGAGCTGCGGCGGGGGGGATTTTAGGCTGGAGCTCAGGGCAAGGTTCTTCCCCCAGAGGGTGCTGGCACTGCCCAGGCTCCCCAGGGAATGGGCACGGCCCCGAGGCTGCCAGAGCTCCAGGAGCCTTTGGACAGCGCTGCCAGGGATGCCCAGGGTGGGCTTGGTGGGGGTCTGGGCAGGGACAGGGGCTGGGCTGGGTGATCCTAGTGGGTCCCTCCCAGCTCAGGATCTTCCATGATTCTGTGATTCACCATGAGAGCGAGCTCCTTCAGCCCAGCAGGACCCTCCCACCCCAGCCATTCCCCCTGCAGAGCTGCAGGAGCCATGGCTTTGCTGTAACCTCATCTCTAACCCAGGCTCCAAGCTCCAGCTCCAGTGGGGATGCCTCCACTGACAGCCCTGAACCACTTCTCACCATCAGCTCTCAGCATCCAGACAGCTGAGGTATCATTTATGATCACCACATACCCAGAGTAAACCACCCTTGGTCTTAAAAAAGATCATCTTTATTTACATTTTTTCCAGTTCTTTACATTTGGGGGGTTAAAACCCAGGACAAAAATACTCCCCAGAAGCTGTGGTAAACATGGAAAACTGCGAGTTTACATTTCAAAACCCAGTTATAAATTGCACAGAAGTCTTAGGTTGTACAGAGCCATCACAAATTTTTGTATAAAACCCCAAAATCTGTAAAGAGAACCACAGGAATAAAGAATTACAGCCATGAGTAGTGGTACAAGAATGGGCACAAGTTTTGTGGGTTTTACCCTGCCAGTCTCTCTTGGGGAGGAGGGATGGGATATTCTTGTTGCAGATAGTTGCAAATATTTTAAAATATAGAATAAAACCCAAATGGAGCCTAGAACACCCTGTATCTCCTGTCTTGTGCTGGCTTAACAGGAAAACATCCTAGCAGAAAATATTTATTTTTACAAAACTCCTGGAAGTTCAGTGGAAAGCTAAAAAAGAATCATTGTCCAAAAGAAGAGCCTTTGCATCCCCCAACTCCCCTTCCCCCATCTCCTGCAGGCAGTGGGACAGCAGATGCCAAAGCAAAGTTTAGGACACAACATTGAAAATACCAAAGATATGGAGGTGAAACGTGTGGAGAGTAGGAAAAGAACAAAACCGTGAAGTACATAAAAGCAGCAGGGAAAAAAAAAAAAGAAAAAAAACCTGATGATATTTTTGGTGTTTTCCATTGAACACTGAGTTTGGAAACAATTAACTCACAACATTCTCTCATGCCCCACTGCTCCCCTTCCCCATTTCAAACAAACTCAAAAACAATTGCGTCAAAGATCTGAGCCAGGAATTTGAATGAATCCCTACATGCTGAAGTTCTTTCCCCAGAGCTGTGACCAGAAAAATTGGCTTTTCCTCTTTATTTCAGTGTTTAGCAAGAGGAGGAAGTGATGATCAAGGGCCTAAAGGAGCTCCCCAAGAGGTGGAAGCCAGAGAGGCTGTGGACAGAGGACAGAGGGGTTGATCCTCTCTGGAGAGGGTGAGTCCAAACTCAATCCCAAATCCAAACCCAAATACTGGGTTTGCCCCACATCCAAAGCCCTCCCCAGGGACCTGCTGACAGTGCCCTGGGGCCACCCCTGCAGGGGGGCTCAAGGAGAGGTGAACCAGCCCCTCCATCCTGCAGTCCTGGCCCATTTCAAAGGGCTCCATAAAACATCAGCCAGGTTCTTTGTGACAGGTTTCACTTCTCTGCACAGCCAAGGCAGGGCAGGAGGGTTGGAAAGCACTGATTGTCACTTGTTATGTCAATTCTCCTGCACAATGAGGCTGCTCAGAGACAGCCCTGGGTGCCCCCTGCTGCACCCTGGCCAGAGCCACCTCACAGGGCTGACAGGAGCCCCTGCACAGCAGCTGGGCTGGGGAGCAGCCCTGGCCTCCAAAAGGATGAAGACCACCCTGAGGTGTAGCTCCAGCTCCTTCCTGCTCCCTCCACAGCAGCTGGTGGTGATGGAACTCCTCACCAGACAAGAGTGTCCCCATTTGCTCCTAAAGTGTACAGCAAGAGGCCCAAAGACCAGTTTGTAGCAAATATAATTTGGGAGAGCGAGCTGAGGTGCACAGGAGCACTGCACAGACAGGGCACGGCACTGGGTGAGGGCTCCCTCCTCCACAGCCTCCACCATGGATGGGCCATTCCCAAACAAAGGTGGAACAAGGACATTCCCAAAACAAAGGTGGAAAAAGGACATTCCCAAAGCAAAGGTGGAAAAAAGAGGACAGATCCTGGCTGGGAATCTGGAAAAACAGCCCAGTGGCTCTGGCCACAGCAACCAAAGAGAAATCACATTTTCCAGCCAAGGAACATGGGCTGGACACATCAGCAGCAGCTCAGCCCCAGGGATGGAGAAGGAGCTGGGAGACCAGTCCTGCTCCTGGCCCTGCCTGCCTCTCCCAGAGCCTGGCTGGGTCAGCAGCCTGCAGCCCAACCCAGCAGGTCCAGAAGCATTGACAGCTCATAGGAATTTTTCCAGGGGTGTGGAAGGGATTTGGGTTCAAGGATTTGCACAGCCAACATCAAGGAAGGCCACAGGACCTGCAGACTGAGCCAGGCAAGACAGGTTCAGCCAAGTGGGAGGAAGAGGAAGAGCACTGGGGAAGAGCTGTACCTGCCTTTGGCCCATTGTGGATGAAGAGTGCTGCTCATGGCAGGCTGGACCACCCGACAAAGGAGAGTCTGAACCATGAGAGCTGGGCAGAAGCATAAGCTGAGAAGAGAATAAAGAAGGATCTTTGTGTCTGAGACACAGATCACACCCCAGGCTACCTGCAGTGATAACATTTAGGCAACACTGGCATGCTTCAGCCATGGGATGACCAAAGTGGGTTGCGGGGAGGAGCCTTCTTCCTCTTTCAATAAATTTATTCCAAATGGCTCTTTAGGAGAGGGCTGGGGCTGGTGGTCTCCAGCCTTTCCAGCCAAACCGTGGCTATGCCAATTCCATCTTCCTAAAGGCAGAGTCTGCTCTTCCCCTCCTCCCCTGCCAGCAGTGAGCACTGCCCAGGACTCCTGGGCCACTTGGACAAATCCTGGCTTCAGGACACAGGGCCTGGGATGCAGCAGTGCAGTGGCTGCTCTCTCCAGAGCCAGTCCCACGTGTGGCCAAATTCCCTCCAGCCATGTGGAATTAAGAGCCTGGCACTGTGGTCAGGCCACACTGTGTTTGTTTTCCCCGAGCTGCCTTGGCAGAGTTCACCACCCTTCCTGGTGAGAGCAAAAAAACTTCATTTTGTAAGAAATCAGCAAGGTGCATTCCTGATTTGGCATGAACAGGCACATGGATAGCATCAGAAATGGATGAAAAAGCACAGCATTTCTCATAGAATAATTTATTAAATACAGCATTAAAATTTGTATTTCTGAATTCAATCATTAAAAACAACTTCATCTCATATATATATATATTTATATATATTCAGGGACAATGACAATCACTCTACCATCATTGGTGCATGTTGTGCCAGCACTGCTCAGAACGGCACCTTTGCTACACTACCCTTAAAGCAGTTCAATGCTTAAAAAAAATAAAATAAAAAAGCATTTGCAAAGAAAGAGTGCAAAGCAGGGCCTGTCCCAGCTGCCTGAAGGGTGTGCAGAGGTGGCTGAGCAAGGAGGCAGCGGCTGGAAATGCTCCTAAAGGTCTGTCAGGTATTGCCTGCCCAGTCTGGGGCCATGTGGGGACAGCTCTGAGGTGCCAAAGGTCTGGAGGCCACAACTGCAGCCTGGCTGCGCACCTGTGGCTCTGAGGGACGTGGCTTGTGGTTTCCTCAGCTTGGGCAGTCAGTGCTAAACGATCTAAACAAGGTGTGTGGGGGGAAAAGCGCAAAAGAAAAATGTCAAGAAAACCCAGCTTGATCCCCCGACTGCTGGGTGCAGCGGAGGCTGCAGCTCCCACACGGGCCGTGTTCATTGTCACATTCTGCTCAGGCCCAGGGGACACACAGCAAACCAGTGCCACCACAGGGCCCTGGCCCAGCACCCAGCACCTTGTGGGCTGCCTGGGCAGGGACAGCCATTCCCAGGGACAGCCCCACGCAGAGGGATCCCACGGGCAGGGCCCCCGGGCAGACTCAGAGGTAGCATCAGACAGACTTTTGTGATTGATGGTCACATAACTGCGGCCTGGGAGGAGAGGGCACCCTGCAGGGACATGGAGTGTGGTCTCCCTGCTGCAGAGTGAGCAGTGCTGCTGTCCTGTGTGCCACGGCCCAGCAGCGAGCAAGGGTGGGCTGTGTCCCACAGGGCTCTGTGGGGAAAAGCCACCCGTGCTGGAAAAGGGCACCCCATCCTACAGCAGGATCTTCCCCAGAGCTCACCAGGGCTTATCAGCAAGTGCCCCCACGAGCCCCCCGTGCCCATGTGCCCATGGCCACTCACACTGCCAGTCACTCCCCCACAGCTCAGGTACAGCGAGGGCTTGTGCTTTTGGCTTTTTTAAAGTCCCTGACCTTCCTAACCTGCTTACTCCAAGAAACCTCCTGCTACCCTTAGGACTTCTGAGGACAAGGAGGAAGGGCTGTCAAAACCATTTGTGGAGAGCACACAGCCCCTAAAAGAGGAGAGCAAGTCCACACAGCCCAGCCTTCCCTCAGAGTGGAGCTGTGCCAGGTCAGGAGCGTTTCAGGTAAGGCATTGCAGGTGCTTTGATAGTAAAGCAGTTAGTGTTGACTACAGTACTGGAACAGGCTGCTGCCCAGGGCCCAGGGCCACATCCAGCTCTCCAGCACTTGGTGCAGCAGCAGGAGACTGTTCAGTTTCCCAGACCTCTCCTACACACATGCAGGCTGCTCGGGCTGCCCTTTTTGGTTTTTTACCCCCTCCCTAGAAAAAGACTTAAAAAGCCCAGGCTGGGATGTGGCAGTTCCCCCCCAAAGCAGCCAGAGAGACAAGAAGACACCTTGTGCTGTACCAGACTGCCACAGGCGGGTGCCCCGTGGTGCCAGGGTGGGCAGCACTGGTGGGGTCAGAGCAGGGGAGGGCTAATTGCCATTGCTGATGCTGGAGTTGGCACTGCTGCAGCTCTGCTCGTAGGATGGAGGTGCCTCTGTGGGGAAAAGGAAGAATGAGAGAGGTTATGGTGGGAATTTGGGAGGTTCCCTTCACCCCAGTCTGTGTAACCCAGTGCAGAGTGGAGCAACCCACCAACACACACTCCTTGCCAGGGCCCCACTGCCTGCCCAGCTGAGGTACAGGGGGTTTGTAGGATTTGAGCCAGTCAGTCCCATCCCTGCACTGATGCCCATGGAGGTTAAAATCGCCACCTCACACTCCTGTTCTGTTCCTCCCTTTCTTTCCCAAGCATCCTCCTATCTTCCAGCACATCCAGATCACTCGTGCTCTGTGTGCCCAAACCCAGGGCTGAAGTAACACATGGAGTGTTCTGTTACCCCAGTGCAAAGACAGGGGCTGATTTGGGTACAAGTGTGCTAACACACACTGCTGGCCCTGCCACCCCAGCCTGGCTGCAGGAATCCAGCACACTGGGATTTCCCTGAGCTGCTCCACCCTGGACACTTTCTCAGCTCCCACCCCCACAGCTTCAGACCAGCTGCCGGCCCACTCCAAGTCAGACAGAAGATTTCAGTGACATCATTTTCCTGGCTATGCTCCCATCAGCCTCACCACAAGCCAAGAAGTTTTTTTATCAGTGGGAGGCTGAAAGCTCTTTTAAGAACAGGGAGATCCTCTCACAAAGAGCCCAGGGCAGGCATGGGCGTGGATGTGGGAAGGACAGCTGGCTTTTACAGCTGGATGAGGGGACTCCTCCAGAGGCTAAATCAGGCAGAGAGATGTCACAATCCCCTCTGACAGCAGCCTGCAGCAAACTGACTGAATCCCCAGATTCCCAGCAGTCCACAGCTAGCACAGACTGCTGGTAGGAGCTGTTTCCCCCCAGCTGCAGATCCCAGGAGCGCTGCTCACCGTAGGGGTATCCCCACGTGCTGTACTCCGGGGGCAGGATGAGTGAGCTGGCTGTGGGGACAGGCACCACGTTCCCCTCAGCGTAGTAGGGGACAGTGGCTCCCGTGGACAGGCAGAGTGTGGGGTGGTTTGGGGAGCCTGTCTGCTCCGAGTCCGCCCGAATCTCCTGGAAGCTCAGTCCTGGGGCGTAGCTAAAGGGCTGCTGCTGGGAGTGGCTTTTGGTGGGGATGGAGACATTGTCCATGGGGTGATAGCCACTGGCAGCCTCCTCTTCCTCTGGGGGGGCACTGGGGACCACCACAGATGGGATGTGCTGGATGGAGCGGGAGGGGCTCAGTGGGACCCTGTTCACAGCAATGTTTCCAATGTAGATGGGGAGAGTGACAGAAACCTCTGGAGACTTGAGGGAGACCTGGAAGAGAAGGGAAAACAGTGGCATCCTCATTATACATGGCAGTGGGAAGGTTCACCTGATGCCTGGACCACCCTGCTCAGCCTGGGAGGGGGGCACAGAGCCACGGCCCAGCCCAGGGATACTCCAGATAAACTCACCTGGATGTAGTAGTCAATGTGGATGAGGCTGCAGCCCTGCAGAATGGACTGTGGCAGTGCTGGAACCAGGATCTGCTCCTTCCATTCTGCATGTTTCCAGGCTTTCACCCCTGAGCCTTCCACCTCAGCGATGGTCCTCAGGTCGTAAATCCAGCGCTTGGATTTGTAGGCCACTTTCTGCACAGACAGGAGGAAACACAGCTGGCTCAGAGGCTGCAGGTGGTCTTCTGTCTCCCACAAACATAAGCCAGGACACAACCCCACCCAACTGCTTTGTCAAATAGGCACAAGCACAGACCTGAGGGGCATGTTCCGGAGCAGGAATACCCACTGTTGTGTGACAGACTCAGCAGGGATAAGCAAGACAAGTTCTAGGTCTCTTTCCCCAGGATGGTAGACAGGACCAGAGGTGGAGATTTGGCTCCTCGCTGCCCCAGTTTCACAGAGGCCTCCCTGGGATGGAGCAGCAGCCAAACCAGAGAATGGCCCCACTGGGCACCCACCTGGAGCAGACTGGCCACCACAGCGCCGGTGTCGCGGCCGGACTTGTTCTCAATGTCTGTGCGGAGCTGGATGGCCTGGCCCACGATGTAGCCCTTCAGGTCAGACGTGGCTGTCAGGACGATGTTGCCACTTTTCACAAGCTTGTAGTTGAACTTCTTGGTGATGGACATGGTGTTGGGCTGCTGCAGGATGGCAGAGACAAAGGTGTTGGCTCAAGAGAGTCAGAGAACCTCTGGAAAAACACTCAAGGGATTCAAAACAAGCAAGCAGAAATATTTGTTTCTAAGAGGATGCAAAGAACCAGCAACATGGCAATGCCACAGACAACAGGTCTCACTACTCCAGCCCCACAGCTCTACTGTCCTATTAGTTGCTTTCCTCTCCAAAGCAAATTCCCCAGACCCAAGTGTCTCCAAGCACCTGAAGCTGTTGGCTAACATATCTCTCTGCATACTGAAAATTCACATAAACCTCTCAGAGCAACACACACAAGGGTCAGAAATCACCTGGAGTAGGTACTGACAGAAAGGCAGGAGAGATGAGGAGTCCTTATCCTGCTCTTGCATAGTCACAGCACACAGTCAGAGCTGTCCAGCCACTCAGTGACTCCTCAGACAGCAGGACAAGGACAAGTGCTGAAGTGTTGGCATTCCCAGCCATGCCCCTCCTCGTTCTTACCTCAATGTCAGGGATGTCGTTCAGGTTGAGAGGGCAGAGAACGTAGAAGATCTTGTTGCATTTGTAGTCCTTGGAGAAGCGAGGTGTGTCTATCACAGCTTTCACCTGATGCAGGACCTTGCCAAAAGGGCCTTCAAATGATGTAGGAGCAGAAGCTGGAGTTGAGAGAGAAAGAAGAGGTCATAAGGCTGAGGCAGGCCAGTTTCTGAACTGGAAGTGTATGCAAAATCCAAGGTTTACAGGGAAGGGCCTTCAGCCACATCTTACCTGGCAGCAGGAACTGGAAGGGAAAGTTGTGCTCTCCAGCTGTCAGGACCCCTGTGGAAACAAGAATGAAGTGTACATGGGACAGGCTGAGAGGCTGTTACCTTGGAATGTGTCATCTTCTCGGGGAGAGAGGCCACCACCCAGGGAACCACACACCACCTGCTCTGCTGCCTACAGCCACTGGAAAGCTCCAGATCCAACGGGCAGTGCTTGAGCCAACAGGAGCACCTGCTGCCACCCAACCCTCCTTGGGACAGGAGAGGTTCTGTAGGAAGATATGCTGTAAATAAGGTCATTTAGGGCAGGCTCTAAGTGATCCCAGTGCCACAGCAAGTGGTTATCCCAGGCTATTGACACAGGGCACAGAGTAGGGCTGCTGTGGGTTTATTTTTCCTCAAGTCTTCCCCCTGTCAGGCAGTCAGGGGGAATGTGAGAAATCACAGGCACTGTCTGACAGTGGTAGGGAGTTCTGGTGGGCATCAAGCCACTGCACCCTCAGCCACATACCAAGCCCTTCACAGACTGCACAGGGTTCAGGCACTGGAACCAGAGGTCCACCCACCCCTGGACCCAAGAAGAGACTTGCAATACCTCAGCCTGGCTGCTGAGACAACAGGAGCTCAGAAAAATATTGCCACACATTTACCTCGGCACTTGTTTCCTTCAACCACTGCTCTGCAACAGCCTCGAGGCACAGGGCAGAGCCAAGATCCAGTGCATGGCTAAAACAACAGGTTCCAACTCCCCAACTCCATCCACCCTCCAGCACTCCCAGATTCCCTCCAGGGCAGTGTGACAGCTGAAATGGACCCACAGTGTGATCCAGCAGCTCCTAAAGTTGCCTTCAGTAAGGAAACCACCGAGGTTTATCCGTATTTGTTAAATCCCTGCATACACAAGAGGTTTTGTTTTTAAAGTGGCAGAGCTGAGAGGAGGCTTGGATGCCCAGTAAATCGAGCTGTGTTTGTTCTGCTTTGCAGGATCATTGCTGGAGGTACCAAAAGCCCAGCTCTGGCTGGTGCTTTTGTTGTTGCAAGCAGGGGGAGGCAGCTTGCCCGTTAGCAACGCTGGCTCTGCAGAGTCCTGTCGTCAGGGGATTAAGTGGATTACATGGAAGGGGGAGGTGGGGGAGAGAAGAGTAAATCCCCCCCACTGACACAGCAGCCCAGGCAGGACTTGGTGCATCATTCATGCTATGAAAAGCTAGATCTCTGCCTCTCTGCTCACTCAGCCACCCCATGGGGACGAGGCACAGTGAGTGTGTCCCCACAGCGCAGGGACAGCGGGATAAACAATCCAACACTCGCCTCATCGTGGACCCCTGCAAAGGGAGAACACCTCCCTGCAAAGGGAGAACAGCAGAGATGTCTATTTGTACACTTCGGCCTCACAGGGAGGAGCAGGATTTGCCCATTGCCATCACCTCCCTGCAGATTCCCCTCCTGTCCCCCAAACAAACCCGAATTATGTAGGCTAAAATGCAGCACCCGGCGCTGTCACCAGGTGGAGGCACCAAGCCAGGCTCTTCCCTCGCTGCCAGGGCTGATGCTCAGAGCTGGGCAGGCTCGGAGGCAGCCGTGGGACAGCCTCTCCTGCTCCTCTTGGGCAGCCTGGCTCAGTAAAGGTGCCAGGTGAGGTGCAGCAGGTGCCTTGGATGGGTGAGTCCAGGATAAAGCCTGGTTAATGGGAACGACTCCATGAACCCAGCCCTTGTTTGCTGCCCTGAGGGCTTCTGTCTTTTAACAGGCACCATTCAACATTGATCTTACACCCATTATCCCTACTTTTAGAAAGCAAATGGGTAACTGGAATACATCCACTGTCCTGTGCAGCTTCTGCATTTCAGTACAGGGACTCTGCACCTGACAAGGAGTAGGAGCAAGTGCTGTTCCTGCCCTGCAGAAGGGAGGGAGGTGGGAGTTCCAGAGGGTAGTGGCCACTGAGAGAATTCCACTGAGAATTTCCACCAGAATTCCCAGCTGTGTGACATGCAGAGCCCCACATGAAAGTGCAGGTAGTAAATTACAAGCCTCCTACTAGGAGCATGAAAGTTCACAGCCTTTCCAGGACCCTCAGGATGAGCCCACAGACTCCACCAAGTGAAAGTCCCTATTCTACGTTACAGGCAGCACCATCCAACAAGTCATTTCTGTCCAAGTCCTGCCCAGCTCAGGTGCACCAACAGAAAGGTGGGCTGGAAGTGAACCTGCGAGCAATTCCACAGTTTCTAACTCCCACAGCATCACTGAGTGAGGCCATGAACTCTCTCAGGAAGAAATGTGGGCAGCATCACCTGCAGAGGATGTGGTTTGGCTCTCAGAGCCACCGTGTGACTCACTGGCACTGAGGCAGTTTCTGCAAGGTAGCCCAAGCTCTGAGCAGGTCACCAGATGGGAACTGCCCACAGGTGAGCCTAGACCAGCCTGATGGTCCTGACCAAGCCCAAGTGCCCTGTTGGCTGTGACCCACTGAACAGCCTGCAAATCCCTCCTGCAGCAAGCTGCCCATGACCCTGGAAAAGGCCCTTCCTGCTCTTTGCAACCAGAGAGGAGTTCCCAGACCAGCCTGAAGGGTCCCAGACCACAGACTGAAGCTGTGTCCTGCCACAGTTCATGCAGACCAAGGGCATCACAGCAGTGCCTGGCTCATGGCCACAGAGCCCTGACCCCAGTCCTGAGCTGAGCAGGGAGCCAGGGAAGCACACTGAGCCCTGCTCTCCACTCCATGGAGCAGGAAAATGCTGCAGGTGACTAAGAACAACTCTACAACTCTTGTTTGCAGACCTGCTCCTTCCAGCCCACTCTCTCCTTCCCCCAAGAGGGAGAAGCATCTTTAGGCATCCTCAGTATCCCAGAGTGGGCATTCCAAGGCACCCACTGGTACAGAAGGGAGTTCAGTGACAGGGCTATTTCACAGACAAAGGTTAACAAAATTAAGATGAAGAAAAGCCAGAGGTCCTGACGGAGATAGGAGACTTGTGAAAGCACATGCTCTTGTGAAAGCACAGGCATGATCTAGAGTGCCTGGCAGAGTGACAAGGCAGCAGAGCCCACAGGTGAGCTTGGGTCCTGCCTGCCTCCCTCTGCACCAGGAGGAAAGGCAGATATTTAGCAGCAACCTGGGCTCCTTCTTGCTTCTCCTGGCAGAGGCTCCTCCAGCACAGGCACAGCAAAGGGTCCATTTGCAATTTGGAATTACAAAACCATCTCTGTCTTCTGCCTGCTGCCTAGTGGAAAGTTGACAAATCCCAAACCAAGCACCCTTACAATGTGAAGGGAGGTGGCAACTGCTTCTAAACTCTCCAGCTGGCAACTTTGCTCTGAAAGGCTGAGTTTCTACTTCCAAATGCTGACTAATCTTGCTATAATAGGGGAAATCTGCAATTTCCCTCATCCCAACTTCCCTGTGAGCATGGGCAGGGCACAGATTGACCTTGGGCCAGCATCCAGGTATTTCTGCCATGGAAAACAGGAGCAAATACCAGCTCAGCTCCCTGCAAGGGACACTTGCAGTGGCTGTACTGGTGACACAGGGCAATGTATGTCTCACCAGCCATTCACAAGCCTTGGACAGATGCCCAGATCACAGCAGGGGAGATGCAGCATCAGGTAGAGTGTTCAGAGCCACCCCACGGCTGCATCCCCTGTGCAATTCCAGCATCCCAGCAGTGAGGGGAACACACAGCCTGTGGGAAAGCACTTATCACCCCTGTCCCTCCAGCCTAGAGAGCTTCAAGCAACAATCCAAGACATTTAATGTGCTAATTCCATCTGCAAGTGGAATAGAGGCTGTTCAACTTTGCAACAGAGACTGTTGGCAGCAGGCAGAGGTGAGCTGGTTTCCAACCATGGTGGGGGCCCATGGCCATCCCAACACCTGGGAAGAGCTGCCCTTTCCATGCTCCTCCAGAACCAGAGGCTTTGCCAAAGCACTCCCCAGCCAGGGCAGGGGACAGCAGGTCAGCAGGGGTTCAGCACTGCTCCAGGGGGCATTGAGACCCCTCAAACAGGGGCAGCTCACAGACCCTGTGAGGAGACAGGGCTGTGCCAGCCACCGCAGCCACGCCGAGCCAGCACCTCCCCATTCCCAGAAGCCAGAACAAAGGCCACAGTGTCCTCGGATGCAAAAAAGCTTTTCCTGAAGTTTATGTGCAGCTAAAAATACCTTGAGAAAGTCATTAGGCAGCAGAGACAGCAGGCTTAGCAGGGTTCTGCTGTGGGGCCGTACCTGCAGCAGCCTGTCCTCCTGATAGGAGCCAAGCCAGCAGAGATTGGCCACCCCCACACAGCCTTGGGAAACTTCCTCCCAAAAAATTCCTGGAGGGAAAGGAGCTGCTGCCCCAGACAGCCTGGAGAAAAACTCAAGTCCAGATAGCAGGAGCAGTAACAACACACTCATAGTGCAGAAGAACCTTGGAGATGTCCCTGACTCCAGCAGAGATAGGTCTGGTGTCTCTCATTCATGGCTCAGCTGCTCCCCTCTGCTCCACACTGGGACTGGGGTTGTTCACTTGTACCACTGGATGTGGAGGAGTCCTGGAACATTTCATTTACAGAAAAGAAATGCCTTCATCCAGAGGGCTGATGCCAAGTCTTCTGGATCCCCTGGTGATGTTGGGTTGCTCTCCAGAGAGACCCTGCCAGGCTGAAGGGGCTGTGAGGGCCTTGGGAAGTCTGACAAGGCCATGTGCAAGTCCTGCACCTGGGTCAGAGCAATCCCAAGCACAAATGCAGGCTGGGCAGAGAATGGATGGAGGAAAGCCCTGAGGAGAAGGGTTTGGCAATGTTGGTGGATGAGCTCAGTGTGCCCCAGCCCTGTGTGCTGGCCCCAGAAACCCCCCTGCCCTGGGCTGATCCCAGCGTGGGCAGCAGGAAAGGGGGGATTCAGCCCCTGTGCCCTGCTCAGGCAGAGCTGCCTCAGCCTTGGGGGCCAGCACAGGGAGGAGATGGATGGAGCTGCTGGAGAGATTCAGGAGGCCATGGAACTGCTCCAGGGCTGGAGCCCCTCTGCTCTGGAGCCAGGCTGGGAGAGCTGGGGGTGCTCACCTGGAG